ATACATCTCGTGACTTTAGCATACATAATTCGGGGATCGACCTTAGGTTATACAATTCCCTTARTTTAACTATAACTAATGCATAAAATACAAATACAAAATGAAGTAGCTGACTAATGCATAATGTGTTATAAATAAATTCGAACATAATCACTTCAAATTTCAAGTCAAATCATGAACACATTAAACTAGTATGGGCTTGATAAGTTGCGAATAAAACTCTTGGATAATAGAAGTAGAGAATATATAAAGAGATTTCACTTACGTTCGGCGTACGCCAATGCACCAGATAGAGACTGAAAATTCCTATTTTTTCTTGAATTTCTCTTATACAATATATGTAGAGTGWCGTGGCTAACTTTAGGTGACTGAGATATGTGGGCCTTAGGTTATGTTAAAATGCCTCGCGCATTTAATATAGCGTGATTCGCACATTAGTAAAGCTGATTGAAGAATCTTCACAGGTTTATATGTATATATGGTCTATATAGGATCAAACCAAAGAATTGGACAACACATGAATTATAACTGATATATGTCTGGATCGTTAATTCAAAGTCCAAACAAACACGGTGGGTGTCTTCACGTATCTGAGATGCATGATTAACCTACCCAAGAGTCAGATTCCCCTAACAGTACACTAATTTATTTGGYAGATAGTAATGTAGGGTAGGTAGCCTTCAAACTTTGAATTTTGTTGCTTTACCAAACCATGTAACGATGTTCTCTTTTTCTTTTTCTATTGTTATTTATTAACTGACGTTGTTGGACTTCGATTAGAGTCCATCATTACTGATTTTTAAGATTGAAGGTTAAACTCTTCAYCATTCATATAACTTGCAAAAGTAACCTCTTTTAAATAGTGTACTCCGCGTGATCTACACGAATTATATGATATGTTTACCATAAAAAAGGTTGTCTGATGTGAACCTTAAAATGCATCTTGCAAAATCAAAAATCAAAGGCAAAACCTCTTCACAGTTATCACTTTTAATGCTAAATCAATATAGATTACAATATTTTCACTCAGAGTGGAGTATGAATGTGCGCGCGCAAATATGCAATCATATTGATATATCTGGTAGATCTATACTGTAGAGATGTCATGTACCCTTATAGAGTAACACATGCGCTTTAGAATATTAAAACTGTAAATATCCCTAGAGGCAATTTTCTGAACTAGATGAATAGCTCAACTCGTGAAGAAGTATTATTAAAAGGTGTGTTCCTGCAAATGTCCTAATTTATGGCGATACATTATTAATACTGATTGAATAATCTTTATCAAATGATAATCGACATGCCTGTCCGCATAGTCAACGGTGAGTCGCGGTGACCCGAAATGATTCGGGTGCATAGGTAAGGCTGAGACTTCCCATGCTAAGATCAGGGGGAGAGCATCCAGGAGGAATCTCAAACTTAAACTTCTGCAGCAAAGTGGCTGATATCAGGAACAACTCGGTCTTGGCCAACGATTCACCAATGCAGACTCTTCGTCCAGCTCCAAATGGCATGTAGCTCATCTTCTTTGTGCCAGTGAAGTGACCTTCTGAATCCAGAAATCTATCAGGGTTGAACTGCTGGGGATTTTCCCAATGTCGCTCGTCGTGGTTGATGGCCCACATGTTGAGAAGGACGGTGGTGTCTTTAGGGATTCTGTAGTCCGATAGGGTGGTGTCACACGTGGTTTTGTGTATAAACATGGGAGCAACACTTGCATGACGCAGAATCTCGGTCAGAGTGGCCTCCAAGTAATGGCAGTCATGTCTTTTCTTCAGTGTAATTTTGCCAGTCTCTCCAAACACTTCTTTGATCTCAGCGTAAAGATTTTCTTGAATTTGTGGATAGTTCATTGCATATGCGATAAGCCATCTCAGGGAAGTTGCCGTAGTCTCACTACCGGCTCCGAAGAGATTACTTATTGTTGCTTGAACATCCATATCGCTTAACGTAACGTTGACTTGTGAAGATACCATTTCTCTTTCTTCCTCTATCTTGGCTTTTAAAAGTGCGTCAGCCAGATGACGGATGTCATTTTCCTGGAAAGTTTCCTTTTCTCCAAAATACCAACCCTCTCTCATTTTCCTGTTCTTTTTCATAACCGTAAACAGCAAGGTGGTGGACGGGATGGGAAAATRAATCAACCACGGAAAGAAATTCAAAATGTTCAAAGGACTAAGAACTTTTATCACTTCCTCATTAGATCTTATGATCTCCAAAAATTGTTCATCTTCCAGATCGAATCTTTTTCCATACACTATGGCGAAGATCACGTTAACGATTGCCAAGCTCAGTTCTCTTTTGGGATCAAAGGGCTGACCAGCATTAGAGCTAAAGCGTTTAGCGATCTCATCTGCTTCGTCGAGTATTTTTTCTTCCAGGTTTGGCTGGTAGAGCCGCAAAGCTTTATGGACGATTTTTCTGATGAGGGCGGTCTTGTTGGTGAAATCTGAAAATACCARTCCTTCCCCACCTCGCGACAACACTTTTGAAGTAAACGTCAAAGGTCTCCCAGAATAAGCATCTTTCTGATTTACCATAGCATCATAWGCAGTTTCAAAMGAGTTAATGACAACATAAGGCTGGCAKCCTTTTCCAGTAGGGAAGTATACAGTAAGAACATCTCCATATTTCTTCGCCATCTCAGTGATTGTTTTGTGGATTGGAAYAGATCCATTTSTCAAACTTGGTAGACTACCTATCAATGGATATCGYGGTGGACCTGGRGGAAGACCACGTGATGAACGAACCCAGCTGAAGATGTAGATCAGGAGCAGTAGTGTGGCCAACAAAATAAGTATTTCAGTCACCATCTTTGTTGCTCTTCAAGGGGAATGAACTGAACGAAAAAGCAGAGAATCAATTTAAGTAATAAAATAATTGYTTCGAATAGCTTTCAAACTGAATAAAAAATATAGCGACTAGGTTTTTTATGGACATTTCGACGCTTACATGCGTTATTGCGCACCACCCTCCGTAGTTTATTAAATCTTTTATCAATTTACGCGGCCTGTGTGAGTTTGTTTAACCTTTATATAAATAAGAATGAATATAGACGTGCAGCAAATATGAACGACAGGTAAGCTGTTGTTTTGACGAGAACTAGACACCGTAAYAGCGTCGGGCTAGCWCAAGCATAGAGCATAATGGAATATAGAGAAATTGGGTCGCGAAGATTTTTGGCTCATTTTAATTCAAGATAGGCAAAGATCACAAAAAAATCTTGTTGATGTTCATGACATTCCAAGACATTTGTTGTTGTTGTTGTTATTTTGGAAATAAGAATTATAACCTCGTGTTCTTCTAAAATTTGGGCGATTGTACTGTCACCCATTMTGGTTTACGCATGCAAATGTACTGAAAACGCATTGAATAAGGACCACTTCCCAGTTCTCCCCTGCTGAGGAAGCCTTTACTTTATTCATTTAGTTCGCATGAGCATTTTGGGTTTTAACCTAACTGACATTGTTGACACGAAATCAGCATTGCACAATAATAAGCTTTCTTCGAAAATGGGACCTTTCCATATGAAGTTTATATATATTTAGCTGTTTGAAAATCTCTAATATTTAGAGAGAAAAATCTCATAAACTACTGCATGTAAAAGGCTCAAAACGTCCTAGATTATAAAGCCCCTGTAAGTTGTAAACGTTAATTATGCTAAAGAGGAAATGTTTGCTAACAAACTTCAACGGCCAATTCCTTGCAACATTTGTTTGGCAAGCTTAGCTAAGTGTTATGGTCGCTACATACAGCTTATTCATCCATTATCAACGCGGCTTCCGTGAAAATTCAAGCTAACCATTAACTTTAGCCAGCGCTTACACTGTATTTTGATTAGAAGTAAACGATTTAAGAGCTTGGTCTGAATAAAAATCACTGATTTATAATATAAACTCTTACAACAACCCAAGCGTTGCAAATATTGTAGAACATGGTTGATACGAAGTTCTGTTTTGAAGTTTCGAATCTRTTTTTCAAAATATTCACTCTGAATATCCAAAAAAATCATTCATGTAGGATACTACTGACCTGCTAGTGTTGGAGCTTCGCGTGACAAAAAGTGAATATCTCTGTATTTAGTTACGTAATGTATTACATAACCTTTGTCATGGGAATGGAATAT